CTCGTACTCGAAATGGAGTACGATTCTGCTATGCATTCTGGAGGACGGCGTCGAATTTTCGAAATACGATGTGCGGGAAAATTCAGATAATTAAATATTTCGACTTTAGACATAATGGCAACAAATAAATATACCCAACCAAATCATACCCTTTTTTGAGACCGAATACGAAGGAGTGGTTTGTTTTATTAATATCTCTCACGGTTGCCGTGATACAGTTAAACGAAGCGAATATTCACACTATACCGTCGGCTAGCCGATAGTCGTTCTTCGCGACTTTCACGTAACATACTGCGGCGATAATGGTACTCCGAATGGTGTTTGATTCCGCTATGCATTCTGGACGTGGCGTCGAATATTCGAACTACGATGGTGGGGGAATATACAGATAATTAAATATTTCGAATTTAAATAAAGTTCGTTCAGGTAAATGTATGCAACGAAATCTTACAATTTTCTGATCCCGAATGTAAAGGTGTGCTTGATTCTTCAATATCTCACACGGTTGCCGTGGTGCAGTTAAACGAAGCTAATATTCACCTATACTGTCGGCTAGCCGATAGTAGTTCTTCGCCACTTTCGCATAACATACTGCGGCGATATTCGTACTCCAAATGGTGTTTGATTCCGCTATGAATTCTGGATGTCGGCGCCGAATTTTCGAACTTGGATGGTGGGGGAAAGTACAGAACCTTACCTTTTTTTGGTACCGAATACAAAGTTATTGTTCGTTTTTCCAATAGCTCAAACGGTTCCCGTGTTACAGTTAAACGATGCGCATATACACATATACCGTCGCACTTGGAGATAGTATTTCTTCGCGATTTTCACCTAACGTACCGGTACGATACTCGTACTCTAAATGGAGTACGACTCTGCTATGAATTCTGGACATCGGCGCCGAATTTTCGAAATACGATGTGGGGGAATAAACAGATAAATAAATATTTCGACGTTAATAATATTTCCTAAAGGTAAATGTGACCAACGAAATCTTACCATTTTCTGGTATCGAATATATAGGTGTGCTTTGTATTTCAAACCTCAGACGGTACCCTTGTTACTGTTAAACGAAGCGAATGTACACATATAACGTCCCACATAGTTATAGTATTTCTGCGCGACCTTCGCAAATCATACTGGGACGATTTTCTTCCTCTAAATGGCCTACTGTTCTGCTATGCATATTGGACGCCGGCGTCGAATTTTCTAACTACGATGGTGGGGGCAAATACAGATAACTAAATATTTCGGCGATAAAAGTAATTCCTAAATCTAAATGTGGCCAACGAAAGCTTACCTTTTTTTGGTACCGAATACGAAGGTGTGGATTGTTTTTTCAATAGCTCCAACGGTTTCCGTGTTACTGTTATAGGAAGCGAAAATACATATGTGGCGGGGACGTCGTCGTCAACAAATCCTTACCAATCCTCGTTCTATTCTTCCACGCGAACTTTCTCTTTTCCAACTCCTTCAGATTGTAGTTTCCGTTCTTTTGTCTCTCCCCGGGTTAAGACTTGCTTTCGTCCTCGAGTGGCCTAAGAAGCGCACATGTGGCATCCAGGTTCGCACGAGGACGAACGGCCCGCTTTCCACGAATTTTCCGTTTCCACCTCTTTCTCCACTTCTACCTTTATGTATCGCTACTCCTGTCTCCCTGTCCTAACAATATAAAAACCGAGTACGCCTACACCTCGGGACAGTTTCTCCTTTACCGACCATCGCGACGTACCCGCCGAACCGCTGCCGCCGGGACGAGTAACAAAATAAACGATTATATTTCCCGGGCCAATTGCACGCCCGTACGACCATAACTTTGTACTTTAATAAATTGAGGCGAAAACAGGGTAACGACGTTCCTCATTCACCTCACTTTCTGGTGACCCCGACGTGATCTGAACGTGATGTGTAGTGACATTAACCAAGTGCGCACTCCGGGTAAAAACATTTTTTTTTGGTGTTCCGAAACAACAGTCGTACCGCGAGAATGGAAACGGGTCCGGGAGCATCCTCGGTGAATCGTGTCGCCGTCCGGGTTCCCGTATTTTGCCCGGCGGATCCGGAACTGTGGTTCACGATGGCGGAACGTAGTTTCCAAGCATCGGGGATAACGTCCGACGACACCAAGTACGGCTACATATTGGGTGCTCTAAACCCGCAGTACGCCGCCGAGGTACGGGACATCATTATGGACCCACCAGCCTCTGGGCCGTACCAGAAGCTGAAGACGGAGCTGATACGCCGGCTGAGCTCGTCGCAAGAGCAGAGAACGCGACGCCTCCTCGAGCACGAAGAGATGGGGGACAGAAAGCCAGCGCAATTCCTACGGCACCTCCGAAGACTGGCAGGTAAAACCGTCACGGACAGCGTATTGCGGACGTTATGGTTGGGACGACTGCCTACGAATATCCAGGTAATACTCGCGACGCAGAAAGACGTTGACCTGGATAAAGTAGCGGAGCTCGCAGACGCGGTCGCCGAAACGGTGACCCACCGCGTACAGATTGCCGAAACGACACCCGTGGCGGGCCACGATTTCGAGGCCTTACTGAATGGTAAGATGGCTCAGCTGGCGGTGTCATTGCGGCAAGAGATTTCCGCCATTCGAGAGGAACTGATCTCCGAGCGTCGGCCGTCGCGTCACGACGGAAATTTTCGCCCTAGATCACCCAGCCAAGTACGTTCGCGATCCGATTCCCGGAACCGTCGTCACGGAAAACGCGGGGTGTGCTGGTATCATTGGGCGTTCGACGCCGACGCCCAGAAGTGCGTGCAACCGTGCACGTGGAGCAACGCGGGAAACGAACGGGGCAGTCATTAATGACGGCGGACGACAATAACCCGACGACACGCCGTCCCTTCGTTAGGGATTTCGCGTCGAAAACGCAATTTTTGGTCGACACGGGCGCGGATCTCTGCGTTTTCCCGAAAACAATGACTCGTGGACCCCGCGCAAAGTCCCTATACGTCCTCTACGCGGCGAACGGGACCGAGATTTCCACGTACGGGACGGTGACACTGACCCTCGACTTGGGATTGCGCCGAGCGTTTACCTGGCGTTTCGTGGTGGCCGAGGTATCGAAACCCATCATCGGGGTCGATTTTTTATACCATTTCGGGTTACTGGTGGACATCCGCAACCAGAGACTAATGGATCAGGTCACGTCATTGTCGGTACCGGGACTCCCAGCAAACAGAAGTCGCCAAACGATTCCAAGTATCAAAACCGTATACGGCGGCTCCATGTTCCACGACCTGCTCCAGAAGTTTCCGGACATCACCAGGCCAGAAGGTACGCCCACCGAAACCAAACACTCCACGGTGCACTACGTACGGACGACAACGGGCCCGCCGGTTACTTGCAAACCGCGCCGACTTGCCCCGGACCGACTCAAAGCGGCAACGAAAGAGTTCGGGACGATGATGCGGCAGGGAATAGCGAGGCCATCGGAGAGTAGCTGGTAGTCTCCTCTGCACATGGTCCCGAAAAAAGGATTGGACGAATGGAGGCCGTGCGGGAACTACCGCGCACTCAACGCGAGAACACTCCCCGACAGGTATCCAGTCAAACACATCGAGGATTTCGCGCAGTCGTTGCAAGGGAAACAGGTGTTCTCAACGATAGACCTGGTACGAGCCTACAACCAAATTCCGGTCGCCATCGAACACATCTGCAAGACGGCCATCACGACGCCCTTCGGATTGTTCGAATTTCCATTTATGTCTTTCGGGCTACGCAACGCGGCACAGACATTTCAACGGTTTATCGACGAGGTGTTACGCGAGCTAGACTTTTGTTACGCCTACATCGACGATATTTTAGTTGCATCAGCATCAGAAGAGGAGCATGTCGGTCACCTGGAAGCTGTGTTCAACAGGCTCAAGCAGTACGGCGTCGTGGTCAACCCGGCAAAATGCGTGTTCGGACAGCCACAGGTCAAGTTTCTGGGATACACAGTAGCTAAGGAAGGCACCCGACCACTAGAAGACAAAGTGCAGGCCATAACCAATTACCCGCAACCCACCACCGCAAAGCAACTGAGGCAATTTTTAGGTATGCTAAATTTTTATAGACGGTTCATACCTAAAGCCGCGCAGGTGCAAGCGCCTCTCAATAGCCTACTCCAGGACAACATAAAAGGGCGCGCGCCCATAAACTGGACACCCCAAGCCTCCGCAGCGTTCGAAGAGTCGAAGCGAGGCCTGGCGCAGGCCGCGCTATTATCGCACCCGAAAATGAACGCGGCGCTGTCCATTACCTGCGACGCTTCCGATTTCACCGTGGGCGCCGTCCTCCAGCAACGCGTCGACGACAACTGGCAGCCGTTGGCATTCTTTTCAAAAAAAATCTCAACGACGGAAAGGAATTACGGAGCTTACGATAGGGAATTACTCGCAATATATCTGGCCATCAAACATTTCAAGCATATGATAGAAGGACGAACATTTACAGTATTTACAGATCACAAACCCATCACATTCGCTTTCCAACAGAAATCAGAAAAGTGCACGCCGAGGCAGTTCCGCTACCTGGACTTCATAGGACAATTTACCACCGACATCAGACACATACCGGGAAAGGATAACGTCGTCGCCGACGCATTATCCAGAGTGGAAGAAATGGAGCAGCGGGTAGATTTCGAAGAACTCGCGAAATCCCAATGAAAGGACGAAGAGCTGAAAACGTACGTGCGTGACAACACCGGAAGCGCTCTACGTTTAGAAAAAATGACACTACCTGGAACCCGTACGACAATCTATTGTGACACCTCCACTAACACCACAAGACCATTCATCACTAAGCCATTCCGAAGAGCCGCGTTCGACACCATCCACCGGTTTTCACACCCGGGAATCAACGCGACGGTCAAACTCGTAACTGAACGGTACGTCTGGCCGTCGATTAAAGCAGATTGCCGGAAATGGGCGCGCGGGTGCGTGGATTGTCAACGTTCAAAAGTCACCCGGCACGTGCAAGCACCCGTCGGAAAATTCACCTCACCTTCAGGAAGATTCGAACATGTACACATAGACATCGTAGTTTTACCCGTATCAGAGGGATTCAGGTATTGCCTTACCTGCATCGACCGTTTCACCCGTTGGCCAGAGGCCATACCTTTAAAAGATCAGGAGGCAGCAACCGTGGCACGAGCGTTTTATGAGGGATGGATCGTGCGGTTCGGGACCCCCCTCCGCGTTACCACCGACCGAGGTAGACAGTTCGAATCTAACCTTTTCAAACATTTGAACCAGTTAACAGGTACCACCCATTTACGAACAACGGCCTATCACCCAGCAGCGAACGGGATGGTGGAGCGATTCCACCGGCAACTGAAAGGAGCTATTCGCTGCCATCAGAACGCTCGGTGGACGGAGGTTCTTCCTACCATCATGCTTGGCATACGCGCAGCCTGGCGGGAAGATTTAAAATCCACAGCGGCAGAGCTGGTGTACGGCGAAACACTACGCCTACCTGGCGAATTTCTATCGCCCCGACCGAACGAGGCCGATCAGAACCCAGCCGAGTTCGTAAAAGGTTTGCGAGAGCATTTTCGTGGCATTACTCCAGCCTCCGGAAGTAACAACGGCACCCGAAAAGTTTTAATTTTTAAGGACCTCGCAAGGACAGACCAGGCGTTCGTACGGAACGACACGGTCAGAGGAATACTCCAGCCACCCTACAATGGACCATTCAGAGTCCTCACTCGCGGTCCGAAAACCTTCACCCTTAGCATCAAGGGCAAACCCGTAACCGTCACCATAGACAGGTTGAAACCAGCCTACACAGTCACGGACGCAGACGAGCCAACTCCTGACCAACCGGCTAACCAGGAGCAGCAACGGGCCAACCAGGAGCACTAACGGCCACCATCTACATCAGCATCAGGAACAGCACACCACGCAACGCGATCTGGCAGACGAGTTCGATTTCCCGACCGACTCCAGGTTTTGTGATTCAGTCAATCACTGGCAGGGGAGTGATGTGGCGGGTACGTCGTCGTCAACAAATCCTTACCAAACCTCGTTCTATTCTTCCACGCGAACTTTCTCTTTTACAACTCCTTCAGATTGTAGTTTCCGGTCTTTTGTCTCTCCCCGGGTTAAGACTTGCTTTCGTCCTCGAGTGGCCTAAGAAGCGCACATGTGGCATCCAGGTTCGCACGAGGACGAACGGCCCGCTTTCCACGAATTTTCCGTTTCCACCACTTTCTCCACTTCTATCTTTATCTATCGCTACTCCTGTCTCCCTGTCCTAACAATATAAAAACCGAGTACGCCTACACCTCGGGACAGTTTCTCCTTTACCGACCATCGCGACGTACCCGCCGAACCGCTGCCGCCGGGACGAGTAACAAAATAAACGATTATATTTCCCGGGCCAATTGCATGCCCGTACGACCATAACTTTGTTCTTTAATAAATTGAGGCGAAAACAGGGTAACGACGTTCCTCATTCACCTCACATATATAACGT